TCCAGATATAGACTTTTAAAAAGTAGACTCAACCAAGGCTATATCGCTACTTTATTCTTTTTTGTTTCAGGGGTGTTTTTTTTATATCATTTGCAACCAACAGCAAGTCCATCTTAAGAGGCTTAGGAGTCGAGTCATTTTTAGTCATGAGAAAGTCCTAGTGTAAAAGGAATTGCACCCAGGACACTGGGATTAGAAGGCAAGCATCTTAATCACTATATTATCAAACTCCAATAAACTCAACGTTAAAATGATCAATGGTACTTGCATTATATTGTATTTATCAAAAATTTAAGGGCCCAAACCTATCACAAGCACCTGGTTAGACATGGTTAGAATAGCAATGTAGTTTAAATTATAACTATTCTGCTGTATGTTCATAGATATAATAATATGTTATCTACAGTAATCCTTACAAATATAAAATGGATGGTATTTAAACTTAAGCTTTAGTAGATTTTTCAAAAGTGTAAAAAAAATCTAGTATAAGAGATGATGAAAGATGAAATAATGTTGGACGTGAAAAAATGCTATTTGCAAAACTTCTATTTCTAAGGCAGTAATGATTTACAAAATAGGAACGGCCATAAAATCAGCACCTCGGCCTGCAATGAAACGTGCCAAGAATTATAACCTATGAAAACACATGCCTAAGCACTTAGCCTTCTGATGCGTGGAGATGGAGTTATTTACGTTGATGTTTATATTAACCTCATGCAAGGGGCTTAAATCCATCTCTGATACGTTATTTTTCATCATCAGAAAAATCCTACAATCAAGGGACTTATTGCACAATCCAGGGACTGGAATTTATCCTAACCACCAAGCTACAATCTCACTCATTGGTTATTACAAAGCAAAGCATCCTAGCCTTCGTACCACAACCTCATTCGTTGGTCGATATGAGGTAATGCATCGTAGCCAACATGCTACTGTACAACCTTACTTATTGGTCAATACATGGCAAATATTCTTAGCCACCGTGCTACAACCTCACCAATTGGTCGAAACAAGGCAAAACATCTTAGCCACCAGGCTATTAAACAACCTCATTGATTGGTGGTTGTCTTAATTCTTGTTGTCTTCGCTGCCCTAAATTGAAGTCGTTTCTGGCTTACTTTAAAATGACATAGCATTTCATAATCCCAAGTTCACAAATCAAAACTATAACAAATTGGGAGCCATCCAAGTGGCAATCCACTATTTTCTTGTTATGTTCATTCTATGTGTGTTTCAGTTTTTGTACGTATAACAGTTATTAATCATTAATCATTGTTTAATTCTTTTCTCCTCATAACTTAAAAGTGATACTGTACCAAAATAAACACTGAAATTTTAATCACATCCATGAAGTTGTGATAATAATAACTCCAATGAAGTACAACCTGTTAAGTTGTGATAATAACCTCTGATCAAGTGCAACGATCTAGTTGAAACAAAGCCAGCGTGTCATAACGATGTAAAACAAAATGTAGCTGTGGGTCGGTTTTTGATGTATGTTAAACATAATGAATGACTCACTGGCATCGGTGAGCAAGAGCTGTACTACTAGCGCAACCTTCGTAGCTGAATTAAAGGAGCTTATATCTGACAAGCTCACAAGATATTTACACCATGCAATATATACCAGTGATGAAACGGCACGTTTACAAAAGAAAATGGGGTACGCATGTCTTTAACGACATTAATGATTATTTCAGGATGTTTAATTCAATTGAAATTATAACAATAAGGCCTCAAAATAATTTATGCGATTTCCCCGGTGGGACACTACTTTAAGCATTTTATAGCTTCTACTGTTCATACTTTGAATAAATCTAAATGATCTTTCATCTTATTTTGAAATATCAAAGGTTAAAGCTATTCACTTGGTTGACGAGTGTCACCTGACTAAAAAAAAAGCTACGTAATAATCACACTCTCTCAATTAAACTTCTTCAACGATAACAACATTAAAGTGGCCGCTGACGGTGGCCGCTGACGATGGCCACCGCTGACGATTGAATACCATTGACGGTTTTATTATTCAAACGAACACCTGCTAGAAGGTCATCCAAAAATCTAGGTAATCACAGTACTGTAATAAAAAGCAGATGAGGAATAAAACAAACAAAAAACTAATTAGGTAAATAAAACAGGTGGTTTCGGGTCTTGCTTGAGAATATGTAGGTCTACGGCTGGCCTGTAATTTAAATGTGCTTAAAATGTTATATTCATTTGTGTGCTATAATATAATAATGCAAATCACAAAAGGTCGTAAGTGATAGATTGACTTTTACATTAATCGCAAGAAGGTTGTATCTATTTAATGATTGAGAGCGACAAAGTTGTGCTTCTCTGATCACTGATGCATAACTTGTATTAATGAGTACACGTTCAATGCAGAGATTGCAATCGCAGACAACTGCTGTTTAAATGTGCGCAATATCTTAATTTAAACACCTTGTGAAGAGACTCAATTCTGCAAAACTATTGATGGTATATAGTGGGCAGTTGAAGGCTATTAACTACAAGTGTTCTAAAAATATTTTGTGCATAATTTACTGATGGTGAGCCAATAGTATGGTAAAAAATATAAGATAAAAACACCATTATTATCTCACTATCCTACTACAGTACCTACCTATTGTAAGTAAATAAGCTAACGCCATTTGAATAATAACTATAAATAGACATGAATTCATTTTTGTTAAATTATTTCACTTTAGGTACTTATGTTTCAATGACTTTTCCGGCCAAGTGATGCTTGTATTTTCTTTCGTTTATTATTCATTTAAAGCAATGTATTTGTATCATTTCCCCATTAGGCATGACTTTATTTATACATTCTTTCACAAACTTGTGTGGTAATGGGATGGTTAAATGCTTTAAATTTATATAATTAGGAAGAAGTGCATATCTTATTTATGGAGATTTCAAGGCATAAGAAAAAGAAAAATTTTTTTTTTTTAAATTTCCATTTTTCCAGGGCAGCGGGTGCACAAATTGGCTAAAAAACAAATTTTATTTATATTCAAAATCATCATTATTGGCAGACGACGGGATCGCTAGACAAAGTATAAAAAAAATCTTGCCTTAAACAACACAGTTGAGAATATACTGCATACATGAAACAACCATGATTAATGGTGTAAGTAAATATATTTATTAACACCTCAAGGGCTATTTTTATATGTTTACTTATTAAGTTAGTGAGGTGTAGAATATTACAAAACGCTATAATTCATAACATCAGCATGAAGTAAAAATGAAATTATTACAAAAATTATCAACATTTATCTACCTCGTTCACCAAATGACACACTAGCAAATTATGACCTTGTTTTTGACACACGGCAAGTCAACTATTAAGCACATAACCACTTTAAGTAACTCGCTTAGTGTACGATGACTAGCAAATTTTCATTGCTATCATCACCTATATGATGGAAAGCTTTCAACCTCAAAATAACTGTACTGTTCTTCTCAATTGTTTCACTTGTTGCAATTGTAAAGTGGGGATGGTTGTTGACTATATTACAGTAAATGTAATGTGGGCTGCAGTGTTTAATTGCATTTAATTAGTACGTAATTTAGTACTACATTTTAATTGACAAATAATTATATTTAATCCAAAGATTAATGTATTTTTTTTACAACTATTTGTATTTACACACTTATACTCTCCAAAACTAATAAATTTGTTTTTTAACAAAAACCACTAATAATAATAATAATAATAATAATAAATATTTGCGCCGATATCCATCTACAAAGATACTCATGGCGCATAAAAAAACAAAAATACAAAAACGTTTATTAGAATGAAAAAGGAATTACTGGTAAGTCTATTATTTGCACATTATTTTGTATCTGTTCAATATGTCATTGTTAAATAAGCAATTAATTTAATTTTATGTATAATTAAATTGAATGAACACCAGCGCAAAAAACAATCAAATAATCTCATAATGTTTTTTATTATAGAACAAGACTATAGTGTAGTAGACCACAGTTTTTTTTTACTTATCTTCTAAAGATTCCTTTTTCTCCTTTAATAAGTCTTCTGCACCTGTTCATAAGCATTTACTACATCAGATTTTAGGCCTTGATTAATTCAACTGTTTTCGAACTAAGGATCATTAATAATACAACGAACTACAATTTCACCATCATGACTTATTTAGCTTTAGGGGAAAAAAAATCAATATATATGACGATGATAAATGAGAAAAATGTGCTTGTTTTTAGTAGGTGATTTAAGTAAAGCTTATTAAACCTTAATCACAAAAATAAATAATGATGCGGAATGATCACTACAATCCTTAAAATTTTTATTTGTGTTAGCAAAAAGTTATTTAAATTGAACGAATTACACTGAAAATATAGTTTTTTGAATAATTTCATTTTTAATTTTTTTTATTTTTTTTATTTGGGAGAGGGTTACAATAGTTCAAATATATGGTCATTAAATTAAAAAAACTAAAAATATAATATACTTGAGTAGCAGGACATATACAATTTTAGTCTGTTAGAATCAACTTGATCAGACTGAGAGTGTATTAAAAGAAGAGATTAGCTCAGTCGGCTAAACCGATGGTACCTATTGTGTATACGCTAAACCTTGGAAACATTTGGTCCCTGGAACAATCCTACAGTATGCGCTGCACTCCTTGTGTTTAAGCTTGAAGGTTGAAATTCAAACTTCGATAGCGGCCTGTCTTTCAGATGGGATGGTTACTGGTAAGCTGTTGTCCAGTGAATAATATGGACCATACATGTGTATGATGTACAAGCGTGGGAAATTTGAAAAAACAAAAGGGGGTGTAAAACTGACAGATGTACATTTTGGGGTCTTTTAATTTTAATCAGGTGCAATTAAATTCCGATGTATGTATAATGGTGGTAAATCTGGCTTCAGCAGAATACTGCTCATGGAATAAAATTTATATTTAAGTAAAAATATTTAAATACAACCTTTGAGTAGTTATGTATTTGATATGTACTTATCTGATACTTACATCTGGAGGTTTATTAAGGGCAGGCATAATTTCTGATAATGCTTTATCCTGGGCCATCTGGAACAGTTCCATGTCTTTCTTGGCAACTCCTGAAGGATGCGGTGCATGCGTTGACGACGACCCTTCTTCTGAATCAACAGCTAGAAAAACAAAATTAACAAATTACACATTTTACCAGCTTCACTTATTTAATTTCATTCCAACAATGATGTATACTTGCTAAGTACCAATTATGAAGTAATGGAAAGCTGTAATGTATTTTTCTAAAACCTTGTTCACACGACAGCGTTTCGACCTTGATCAGGGAGTGGAGGCGCTAACCGTTAGCTTAAATGCTAGCAGTGCATGAAAAACAAATGTCCACTCCGTGAGCAAGGTAAGGGTCAGTTATTGCTTTGCGATTGCTAACAGTTAGCAATTTGTTTTACCTGAATTTATGTATGAATGGAAAGGTGACCATGGATTTATTTTATTTATATTCCCTAAACTTAACTATTACTTTACAATAACATACTGTATAAAATCAATAAACTGTTTGCTGGTTTAATATATATAAAAAAGAACAAAAATTAATAAAGTGCACCCTCCAATTCGAGACACCTCTAATTCGAGAGCACTTTTCCAAAGACCGAAATAACAATCGTCAACCTTTTAACACAAAGCTAGCCCTATCGGAGACCAACACTGAGACTACCACAAATTTTAAGGTCCCAATGGTGTTCTCAAACTGGAGGGTGAACCGTACCCATTTAAACCTATATTTAATAAAAAATCACTGCTTGATGAATGCACCATCCACTGGAAGAAAACTTGTGCCAACTAATCTCATGTTACTGTTACTGTAGGTTAGTCATAAAATGCAAACAATTTTTAAGATCCACAGAGTTTTACATTTATTAGTTAAAAAAAAAACATGACAAAAATGTTCAGTAGAATTCAGTGGTCACAATCCAATCTACAGTACATAGGCTTAGAAACAAATTTAAACAGGCAGATTTCTTAAACAAATTTTTAACTTATTAATACACAAAAAAATTATAAATACAAAAGAAATAAGCAGAGTGAAAATGAAACTCGCGTCATAAACTATGCCCGAGGAGGCCTATTTTTCTAGTTATATGAACATCATAAACTATTCAAAACTTTTATTTGAAAAATTTATCTAGAACTTTATATCAATATAGGAGGGAAAATAAACAAGTTTTTAAAAAATTTCTCCCTGTTGATCAATAGTGAAACTAAAATCAGATCATTCAAAATATTTGTTCTTTCTTATCTTAAACCCTTTCCGGATTTTAACTGCCATGCTGAAGTGTATTCCTATTCCCGAAAGAATTAACAGAGTATACAAGCCTGTCCGTGCATTGATTTAAAAGTGACATTAAAGATGAAATCTGATAAAATAAAGAATGTTGTTTTACAAATGTTCAGGAGATAATCAGCTTTAAAGTTACATTTTTACTGTAAAAAAAAATCTAATCCAAGTGAAAAATGAAAAAAGCGCAAAAAAAAAAAAACATTTAAGACGCAAAACGAATTATACAAACTGTCTGCAGCATATTGAAAGTGCATGCATTATTACTTTAGAGCTTTTATATCAAAAAAAGTGTTTGATGTTATACTGACAAGATTACCAATTGAAAAATATTACCATATTTTTACTGCTTCTTTGAATAGGTCATGATTTTCTTGTCAATCAAAAGCAGTTTGTTGAATACTTTACTGTTCAGTATTAAGGCGCTGAATGTTTTTATTGTAACCTGTCTATCTGTTTAGTATTAACATTCTATGGGCTCTCAGTTTGTGTATCTGAGCATACTATTAGTATTATACTGATCAATGTATCATAAACATTGAGTCACAAAAGCATGCCAGTGAAAATAATCATGCTTATTGTTAATAGCTTGAACTATAGACTTAGATCATAACGAAAAATAGGATATGTACATCATTGTGGGCCTAGGCATTGGTGGCTTTAGAAATTTGCTGATAGGGGGTCCAACATGTCGACTGGAGTGCGCAGCAACACGTCACTAAAAGCTTTGGTCAGGGCCCCAGAATACAATCCGGGGTGTGATTCATGTGAAGAGATTTTATGGTTTAGGATAGCCAAAAATTGTGCTTTTTTTGACGGGCATTGCTAAACCCCGCAAACCTAAAAAAAACAAAAACACCGCAAACCTCATCCAAACCCTGTGATAGTGATTGAATGACATTAGTATGAGACTCACCTTGGTACCTTAATTTAAAAAAATATTATTTTATGTTCATAACCTATTTTTGAGTAAAATCTGGATTTTTTGTTTAAAATACCTAAAAATACACCACAAACCTTCAAATACACAGTGCATTTAGGTGCATTTTTTTTAAACAAAATATCAAGATTTTACCCCAAAATGTAACCGTATTAATTAGACAGCTTGATGAAGGTAATTAAGAAACGTGTTCATATTGCTTTTAACATAGCTATTTTAATCCAAATCAGATATATCATAATTCCTTTCCCAGTTTCAACCTTATGGCATTCAAGGACGTATTATTAATAAATTACTATAATATATGAAAGAGAAACAGTTACCATCATCCTTTATTATTAATATTATAGTATTTAATTATCAATAATATATTTATGATCATATTTGATTTATGAGAGTAAAGTATAGTATTCTTCATTCTTGATTTAGTTTTTACATAATTTGTGTCAAGGGGTAAGGTGGAGTAACCATAAGGTATAAGAACGCATTTACACCGTCAGTTACCGACTTATTTAATTCAGACTTAAGCTGCTAAAATAAATAATCTACGAAGTAGAACTATTTATCTACATTTTTAAAATCAATTTAAGTACTTGAAACAGATTTTCCAAAATTGCCCAATTTATTAACTCTTTCAATCTACTGTACTTACGTGAGGACTTTATACTTATCGTAATAATGTTTTGTTTACATGGAAAGCAAATCTACTGACCTTTGACAATGCAATACAACAATAGTGACATTTACTGTATATTGCTTGCAAATACCACTAGTTTATTATTTTGATTACAATTGAATGTGTGTATGCTTGCCCGAATAGAAAATTAATACTAAAACAACACAAATATTTTAAAAAAATAATTATAAAAATATAATTTTACAAAGGGTCCAATAATAATTAACTAATATATCACTATTTTAAAACATGAATGAAAGGCCAATTGCACTATTTTTAATTATTACCATTATTATTTATTTATTTTTTTATAGAAAAAATAAAAATTGTCCAAAATATAAGTAGTAGTATAACAATTTGAGATCAGTGGAGATATGTTCAAACAAGCGTTTAAAGCATACTGCATCAGATTTAACAAAATAAATTGAACCAGAAGATGGCCTTCAAACCTACAAATCTTTATTGACTGTCCAACACTAATAATAGAAGCCAATTTAAAGTTGTGCAAATACGGACAATAAGCTTATACACCAAGACAAAATGCAACAATACCCAGAAAATGATTACTGTTGGAGAATCTAACACTTCAATCTCTGCAGTAACTCCTGTGTTTAAGCCGTCATAGCCAAATAGCCACATCCTAATAAAACCTGAATTTTGCTATATTTACTATCGAAATTAACCAAAAAGCTTATCATTGCTTATATTCTTTGTTTTAACTAATTAAATTCCTATTTGGTTAATTACTTTCATACCGAATTTGCCAAACTGCTGGATATTGTTTCTGGCCAGCTTAAACCCTGGTAACTGAATATGTTTTATCATGGCTATGATTTTAAAGAATTATATGTATGGTCTTTAATTTTGAGAAAATAAATGTTTCCCACAAAATGGGAAAGCACTCTATAGGCAACTAGCCATATCATTGTTGGATTTGTGCCAAACTCTATAGTGAATTAGACAACTTATTATAAAAATATCAATTAATTTAATATCTTTTAAAGTCAATTTAACTTCCATATTACAAACATTTTAATGGCAATTAAATCGCCAAATTATGAACTGAATTATTACGATTATGCAGTCAGGAACCCAAATAAAAGTGTGATCTCCATCCACTGGTTACAGTATATTACAGTATATTGTGTGATCGCACATTCAATTAAACATCTTTAAATAAGTTTTTAACAGTTTTAAAACATCGAATTCATGTAATTCGAATAAAACACACCAAGCATTTATTGTAGAGAAGGGTTTTTGAGGGAACTCTCCCAATACCCGACCACCCAGAAAACCGGATTTCACGCAAAACCGGTCGTTTTTTTAAAGTCCCAAAATCATTCCTATTCTTACTGTATTAAAATACTTTCTAAAAACCGGATCTCCCAATTCCGAATTCCGGCCAAATTCTTAAGTCCGGAACAATAAAATTACCTTCTGAAAACCGGACGGCCAGTTTAAAACGATGATTTATTGACGAAATATGTTAAATAAATCATCGGAGACACATTGACTGACTCCAAATAAAAACTATCAATCACATAACAACAACACGTGTACGATCGTTAGTGTTGATCGACTGACACGCCGATAGCGCATTAATTAATTAATTGCAATAAGCCTAGATTTCATTTGTTTAATAAACTGATAAAAAAAAGTTCATGAGTGTGTTTTCTTTATTAAGGAACGTATCCTTTTCTCACATTTTGCATTCATTCTCATGCTAAGGCAAACCAAGCGGTCCCAACATAAGGCTATCGATTTCATAAAAACAATTGCGCATGACACTTTGACTGTCACATCTGACTGTTTTCTATTGGCTGATGCAGTTTAGGGGGTGCTGCATAAGTTAGCACTTATTTTTAGCATTCAGTGACCCACCAAGGTTATGCCAGCGGCATCGAAAACCAATCAAGCGTGCAACCATGTTAAATCAAAGCAGATTATGGTGATCGAACGAAAAATAACACTGAATGGCCGAGCGGTTAGCAGGGACGCCGCAAGCTATAGCCATAATATCGGCACTGGTTCGAACGGCACGCTCGCCTATGGTTCTGGTGGTAGAACAAGTCTTCTCGGATAAGGACTATAAACCGTAGGCCCAGTGTATACAATGACTCGTGTGCACTATAAATAACACAGTACATCCTTCGAGACAAGTAGGGGGTTACCCCAGTGTACTGGAACAGACAGCCCCTGTGGTGGACGA